ACAACCTTGTAACAAGTCTGATAATGCCATCAAGCTTGTTACAAGTTGTTAACAGCTTGTTCCAAACTTGTTACAACAACTGGGAACAAGCAGTGCGAACACAACTTGTCGACAGCTTGTGAACAGATTTGTAACAACTTGCTTGCAGACCGTCATACAGCTCGTCAACAAGATGTAGTCGCACTGTTTGTTCTCAGTTGTTGACAAGTCTGGAACAAATTGTTATCATCTTGTAACAAGGTTGATGAGACTCGTAACAAGTTGTTCCAACAAGTCTGAACGTAACAAGTTGTTAAGCCCGTAGCAACTTGTTACGAACAGCCTGACTAACTATACAATTATTGCAAAATTGTGCGCTTATATCCACCACACTAAAATAGCAAGGTGCAAAACAATATGGCGATTCATGCACTCGGGGATTGCCTGATTTGAACAAGGCATGTATTTTTGAAACTTACCGCAGATATTTCTCGTATTGCTTGCAAAGTATTGAGAACTTTCTGTGCGCTGTGTTTTGGTGTTTCGGCTCCGAGAAACATTCCTTCAAATGCCCGGAATAAATTCGATAAAAATCTATCAACTCCTTGTCCACCAAGTTTGCGAATCCTTCCTTCCATCGTTGAGACCCATTCTTTTATCGCTATCTTGTTCTGATCTTCTTGATCAGCTTCACAATTCATCTTCCATTGATTAACACCTACACACGTAAAAAACATACGAGTTGTTACAGGTCTGCAAACAAGTTGTTACAAATCTGTTTACAAGCTGTCGACAAGTTATGTTCGTACTGCTTGTTCCCAGTTGTTGGAACAAGTTTGGATCAAGCTGTTAACAACTTGTAACAAGCTTGATGGCATTATCAGACTTGTTACAAGGTTGTTGTAACAAGTCTGATACAGTCGTGATATAACAAGAATGCTACAAGGTTGTAACAACATTGTTATATCATGACTGTATCGGACTTGTTGGAACAATCTTGCAACAAGTCTGATAATATCAACAAGGTTGTCACAAGCTGTTAACAGCTTGTAACAAGCTTGATGGCATCATCAGACTTGTTACAAGGTTGTTCTAACAAGTCTGATACAGTCATGAAATAACAAGAATGTTACAAGGTTGTAACAATATTTTTATATCATGACTGTATCGGACTTGTTCGAACAACCTTGCAACAAGTCTGTTAATATCAACAAAGTTGTTACATTACAAGGTTGTTCTTCCAAACTTGTTGACAACTTGGAACAAGCAGTGCGAACACATCTAGGCGTGTATCCTCGAACAGACAGAATTCTATAACAATAGTTTTATTGTCGCTGTAAGAACTAACCCCTTAATTTGTCGGGACCTTAGCCCCTAGCTCATCGGAGAGTTCTTGGTGCGATTGTTCTCAAAGGATATGCATTCATTTGAGAATTATTTTCTAATCCCGCGAGCGAATTCCTTATGAGAAATGTACAATTCGAATTCCTAAAATGGATACGAATAGTCGAATTCCTAAAATGTTATCGCGCTTAGACTAAACCTATATAATTCACTGTTTTGATATCTTGATTTTTTTATAGCTGTATTCTCAATTGAGTCGGTGTACAGTGTGTCTAAAAAAGTGACGCTTTAAAAATCACCCTTTTGTTGTAAACACCCAAACTTGAAACTTCATTACCCCTGGGAGTTTAGAATGCATTGTAATCGCACGAGCATATTAAAACTGCATAAATTGTACATGAAAATTCAAATTGAAAGTTAAATTTTTACTGGCGCTGCGTTAAATTAATCAGCACAATTAATCATATTCTATGTTGAACGATACGAAAAACTTTTAAATAACTCCCATGCATAACATTCGATTCAATTGTGTTTACGTCCCATGGGTTCGGTGCGGGACTCGTGGGCGTTTAAATTATAACAATAAGGTGGAATTCTAAAGGTCACTCTTAACTCCGTGCACAAAACTTTTAGCATGCGACGATCGAAGTACGGCGTACGGCGTGCTTCTGTATTTGAGCATGTATATATGATATATCACTAAAAATAGGCCTATAAAGTGCTTTATTATAGTGCAACGTTATCGAGATTGTATTAGACTGTTATTGCTTGTATCTGGTTTAAAGGAGTCACTGTTTCTGGGTGTTCATATAATCTGGTTTCATTAAATTGTGGAAGACGTTTGCAAGAAGAAGGGACATGTTCCGTCGCAGATAACGTATGTTATTTTCAAATAATCTTACTTGAAATGAGTGCCTTCAATATATTTTTGTGCCTCGTGATTGAACAAACTATACACTGTGTCGGCATGCTTACAGCAGGTCGATCAATATTGAAATACAAGTCAAAATTGGCAAAAATATTTCCGCATCTCGGTCATGGAGCCGTGGGCCGAAGCATTCATATGGAAAATTTTATTCTCACTTGGACTCTTGGTAGTTAACTGAGGCTATGTTTACACTATACCATGCAGATAGCTTTGCGTATACAGCGGCATGAAAAAGCATCTATTCGATACGGAATGTACAACTTTCAGAAGCTGAGCGAAATAACATCTCTCCGTTGCAATAATTCCTCGGAAAATAGCGTTCCTATCCGGTACAAGGGTAAATGTAGCCTGAGGGCCGGGGCTGTTTACACGATTTCTCGGTTCTTCGGGAAGGTTTTTGGAATGATTTTTCGTTCGCATTCACAATAAAGTGGGCCTAACACAGGCCGTATATGCTTAGCCTTAGGCAGATAATTTCTAACTTTCACAAATATTAAGTAACTTATATTCAATATACCTGCGCCAACTGTCCGTATGTTCATCTCGATGTCTGGCAAGCGATCTCGTAATTCAGGAGTGTCCATAACTGAAATAACACAACATAATAGAGTTATAATACTGTAATCGATATAGTTTAATACATACTATGTTCCTGGTATTGTGCTTCTGCAGCGAACCCTTGCAAGGAACGGGTATAACTGGTTTGCCTTTAACGTGGGCATATGCGTTTTGACTTTCGTCCCTGAGTATGTCTCCACATATAATTTTATAATTTAAGCAAAACAAAAAATATTTTATAAATTTTTAAGAATTTTTTTTTGCATGATGTAGCACAGTACAGTAAATTGCTTCTTAAGGTACAGTATATATTTGAAAATATGGTTGTATAATAACCTCGACATGTTTACATATTTAACCATGATATTTAACTGGGTGAAGCTTTCCGAGTAGTTTCTCGTGAGCTTGCAAATAATTAAATCGTTTCAAGAAATCGACACGAGCTAACAATAGATGTTCCGCTAATCGCTATTCGAAAAGCAGAAAATGTAAGTAAATATCTCCTTACGAGAACAATTCATTCACAAATAGCTGCAATATTCAACTACTAAGCTTGAAACTTGTGCTCTCATTAAGCTTTGCGCGCTTAGAGTTTAAGGTTTAGAATTTAAGGTTTCGCAAAGAACAACCTTTTTTGAATAGACCTTTCCCCTTATAACTAAAATTTTGATCTAGACAAGTCTGGACAAAAATTTCATCACAGCTTGAAAGAGCATCACAAAATGAGTAATCTTCCGAAGTTTCGTTGCGAAATGTTGTAAAATGCGGATAATTTTCAGTCACTTTGTATTACAAACGGGAAATTGATGCCCCAACACCCGATTGGGCTGTCAATTTCCCGTGCGTAATACAAAATGACTGAAAAACGGCAAACTTCGCAAGGCTATATTATCAGCATCTTAGAACATTTCGCAACGAAACTTTGGAATATTACTAATTTTGTGATGCTCTTTCAAGCTGTGATGAAATTTTTGTCTAGATTAAAATTTTAGTTATAAGGGGAAAGGTCCATTGGCTGTATAACAAATATACAAACTAATTACCTTGTTTTTCAAGATCATATATGGTAGTGTTTAGTCCCAACTGAAGTTCAGTTAACCGTTTGTGATATTTCTCCTTGCCGTCTCCATACGATTCAAACATCTTCTTGACAGTTCCCATCATATCTCTGCATATCTCGACTAACTGGCGATACACCTTACATTTCCCTTTCTTCGACGCTGTGGAATGAAGGAGAAAATCTTAGTTTTAGCAGGGTTTTAAAAACTCATTAATAATGCATGAGGAAAACACAAAGAAAAATCATAAGCGTGTCGTATCTTTACATGTGATTGAGATTTCCCTTGATTTACATAAACTTTAAAGTGCTTATATCACTTGTGAGACATTTATGGATTTGAAAAGAGCGTAAAAAGTTAGTTAATAAGTTCAAAAGATTTTGGGGGGGCAATAATTTCGAAGATACAGGCCTCTAAACTACCTACAGTCCTGAGTCCCAGGCTCCTGGGGTCTAAACACGGCTATTGAATTTGGCCTTT